GGATGATTGAGAGTAGAAGAGTGAAATGTTGTGTACTTGTTGTGTATGTAGGATTTTAAGTATTCATATCTGCGTATTTAAATGTTCATGTCTGTGTGTATGGTGTGATTTGAAATAAACCATTTGAATTTTGTGAATTTGTGATTTGAATAATATAGAAAGAAATATGAACCAGCATTGAAGAGTTAATTAATAAAAATAAAGGCGAAGTGCCTGATTTATAGCGGTCGAAATATTAAAGGAGCTTGAACGAGTTTAAATGATAATTTGGTTTAAGAATTTTTTACAGGTAACTCAGTTCAAAGTTACAAATCAGAAGTTCCTCATTGTCAGGGGTTATCTTCATATCGTCTGCATCATGTTAAAGTAAACTTTTCAAATTTGATACTTTAACATGGTGTCGACGATATGACTTTTTAGATTAAATCAATGGCATCTTTCCTGGTTGTAAATATATTTTATAAAATTTAAAAATTATATTCATGTTGAAAATTTTTAAAACCATACGAAAGAAGATATTTTATATCTACTCTTCCTATCATAATTTTATAATCCAACCTTTAGATATAATAAAGTAGATTCGGGCTCATCCTCCAAATGGAGCGATGGATTGGAGCAACTGGAGTAGTTGGAGTGGAGCAACTGGAATAGTTGGAGTAGACTACTGAAGTAGTTGGTGTGAAGAATATTTGGAAGGCTTCAATGAGAATTACTCCAACAAATCATTTTCAATATCATTCTTAATAAAATATTACCACCTTCCACACACGATTAAGAATTTTTTTTTTTAATCCTATGAAAACAACGTTTGGCAACCTTCCAACCCATAATACCTAACTGATCATTTTGTTAAGAGTTTTTTTCCGATAAAATGAAAAATTTGGTTAACAAGTATCTCAGAATATTTGAATATTTCAATGCATATTTTTTAATATAAATTTTTATTAAACTTTTATATTAATAATAATAACTTTTATTTACTGGTCTCACAGTAAATCATGATTACATTAAGAAAGTAATAATAATGATAACAATTATTATTATTGTTAGAAATAATACAAACAGGATTAAAAATAAAAGTGGCAGAACATATGAAATTTCGAAATTGTATGAATCTAGTGTTGCCCAAATGCGAGACCGAGACGAGTCTTGGTCTTGCAAACTCAGTCTTGGTCATGGTCTTAGTCTTGCGCAAGAGTCTCGCAACAGTCTTGCAGTTACTTATTAGCTTATCACTATAGAGATATTGCTGCTATTTTTTAGATAGGAGAAACCTAACTAAGCTCGAATGCAAATTGCAAGACCAAGACCAAGACCGATTTTGAGCAACACTATATGAATCACAGTTTTGGAGTTACACAAAACGCATTAATCTGCATTCGTTGTTGATAAACCTTGGCCAGGAAATAGAATAGCCATGTTTTTAATACCATGAAAAGGATGCTAGAACCAATATAAAAGATGTATTTAACACAAAAGAAGGGGAAAATGCGAACAATATAGAAAGGATGAATGGAATTCGGGTTACACAACCCCGCGCTACCCGACGCAGGGGGCTTATCTGGAATGGATCCCCTTCAGCCTTAATACCCAGCACTGATTTATAATCTCAAATCCGGGGGAAACCAATGCTATAGTAAGCGCCCATCATCAGTCAGCCGGCAATCCAACACGGATCGCCGCTGTATAAAACCTTATCGCCGCTGTGTCATAACTAGCCAGGAAATTGTGAACAGATCGCCCTCCAAGGCACTCACGCCCTTATCAAACGTCGGATATTGGAGATTGGGCAAGAATTACGCTCAGGACCTCTTTTTATAGGAAATATATATATTTATTATATATATATTATGTAGCGTATAATACATTGATATCCTACAATTAAGAAGAGGAAAATTTTATGAACCATTAATAAATAAACTGGAAAGATACCTAACTTCATAAAATAATAACGAATCCCGATTCGAGATATATATTCTTCCTACAATAAATATGTCAGTACTAGGTGGATACAAAATTTGATGCTCTACAATTTTTATTCTATGGGTTTTTCCTTTAAGGGAACTCATTTCCAAGTTACAGGACCATTTAGTAATTTGTCTCAGTTTTTAACAAATTTGGTAAAAATTAGCGTAGGTTGACCGTGATTTTATAATCACGTAACTAAATTATAAAGTTTGTGAACCCGTTCAAAGCACCATTTAACGTTCTTTAATTTATTAACGAGTACAATTTTTTTTGCATTTATACATCGTTTAGGAGTTATAGGTGAAAAAACAAAAAAAGATCAGGGAAAATATGAATTTTTTGGCCGTGAAAAGTTTTCTTCAGCAATTGTATTTTTTTTTACATGTCTTAATCCATATATACAAGTTAAAAAAATAAAAACTTTTCTCACATTTTTTTTCCATTTCGATCCTCCAATGACTGGCCTAATATTTTAAAACCATGCCAGACTGAAACGACAAGAAACCACTCGACGTCCCCGACTACTTTAGCATTTACTAGACAAACACTCTAAACTTCCCATTAATTACAAAATACTCATATACATGACTATAATAAGGCCTATTAGGACTTACGGAGTTGGGGCTCCACTAAACCATCGAACTCCTTTCGTATCCAATCATTCTTAAAATCCTTAATCCTCCCTACTTTGCTACAAATAAAACCATCCATAATGACCTTAATATTTCTTATGTTTCAGATCTGGGCCAATCCAGATACGTATTATTCCATAATAAACTTCAGAATTATCTCAACCCTCTCGCTACCTCATCCCAACCTTGCTTCCTCTTCAATTCCTGATAACCCTCCGAGGCGCCTGAAAAGAAGATCTCCAAATGTAGACAAATCATTAGAGTGCTACCATTGGGTAGTTTCTCAACAAGTGTTTTCACGTCATTATTTATATTCATAGGTTCAAATTTACTAAATGTATTTCTTTAATACAGTTGTAAATACCATTAAGAAATAAAAATAAAAAGTTTTTGAAAACAGCGTCTCTAGAACTACAGACAAGATCCTTTTTAATCAGAATATCATATACTTTTGTAATTTAGGTTCAAACCTTCACCGGCGATGAGGTCGATTTTAGGGCCCTGGCTCCAGGGCTATGAGTAAGAGTTTTCGGTAAATGTCTTTCCCTGATTTCTTCTAGTTATCTCTTACATTAGCTAAAAATCAGAAGGACAAAAACTGAGCTGAGATTTGGATTTCCCATACCAAGATACAGTTTCCTAATTTATCAATAAATAAATTATGTATATAATAATATGAAAGGGAATATGTATCGCTACCCGGAAAATCCTTTTATTATATATGGCCATAGCTTTAAAACAAAAATAGTATACCAGAGATTCTGTAGCCAATCTATGTGCTGTTAATCCATTTTTAATGAACTATATAAGTAACAGGTGATTATTCCCACGTCATAAGAAATGGAAAATCCTTCGAAGTTTAATCTACTGAAAGTGCCTTTCACGGATATATTTCTAAAAAATTATTTTTACATTTCTTTATTCAAAAATATTATATTTTATCACAGTTAAGGACATTAATAATAGTGATATAGTAGCTCATTCACTCTCTGTGTACAATAAATAAAAATAGATATATAAATAAATATAAAAATAATAATACTACAAATAACAGTATATAAGCAAACAGAAACTAAACTAATCAAATTATTGAAGGAAGTTAATCGACTGTTACATATTGTGGTTGATAAATATAGTCAGGACGCAGCCATTTTAAACGTTTTGAGTATTTAACCCATGATAAACAAATCAAAATATCAATTTTTTTTCTATTAATTTTTTTTTCTTATCTATTTTATTTTTCTGGACGCTCAATATCAGCCAACAGTTCAATTATTTCGGATACTGGCTATCTTCAAAGGGAGGTAGTGAAATTGACATCGAAAATAAAATATACAATGGGAAAAGAATAATAAGTTCGATAAATTCAACCCTATGTAGTAAATAAATAAGATTGGAAACTAAAAAGAAGATCTGCCATTCCTTTGTAGAAAGTGTAGCCACCTACGAATCAGAAGTTTGGACAATTACAAAAAAGGCGGAAAATAAGTTGCTTTCCATAGAAATGGATATCTGGAGAAGAAGCTGTGGCATATCTAGAATCGAGCGGATCCCAAACGCAGCTATTAGAGACAAGGTCGGATGTCAAAAGAACATCCTTCACCTGATCGGGACCAAACGGCTAAAGTGGTATGGCCACTTAATGCGGATGGATGAGAACCGCTGGCCAAAGAAAATTTATAACTATATGCCTGAAAGAAGGAAGCGTGGAAGGCCAAAGAAGAAATGGATAGAGGAGGTGGAGAAAAGCATGGCAGCCAGAGGGCTCCGTGAAGGAGATTGGATGGACAGGGAGCAGTGGCTTTTGGGTGTTGGGAATTTGACTCCTTAAGTTGTAGTACAAATAATACTTATAATATAAGTACATATAATGTATACAAATATATCTTTGCCAAGCTAATCAAAATAAAAACTTAAACACTGGCATACTTTTACACAAAATTCATTCAATGAAAACAACCCCGAGTCACGCGTTTCTCCTCATTCGTGGAAGGAAAGCAAGAACCTAGGAGATCCCAGCGTCTCTCGCTCAGCTGTATCATTGGTATTATTAAGGACCAGTGAAGGCTGAGTAGAGGAGCTATAACCACAGACGTACATTGCTTTTACATTTTTTTATTTTTTTTTTTTATATGAGAGTACTTTTGAGTTTAATCCTAACTGGCATTCATGAAAAAAATATGTCTTGAATTATTTTATTTTATTTTATTTTTTCAAGAATAAGCAAAAAATCACCATTTATGCCTGATGTAAGACATTTTTATTATTTCCATTTTATGTTCTATTTTATTTTCCTTGTTTGAAATTTTTAGCTAGAATTATATGGGTAAAGTTTGATTAATTCCTGATTAAATACTTAAAGATTACACTTTCACCAAATAAGGATACGATTCCTTCGCAATGATCGTCGTCTTGGTGGAATGCTACTATCATAATCCGTGTGTGAAGGAGATAGCCCTAGGAGGGGGGAGGGGAGGGGGCGGAGGACAGGTCATGATAAAGAGGGTGCCGCCTGGAGGTGACACGCGAGGTAAACATGTTTACTGCTGGCTTGCAGCAGTCAACAGCGGCTACCAGCCTTGGGCATATATCATCAACACCGCTACTGACGGGGAGCCAATGGCAACGCTACATCTATCCCCCCCTCCCCTACGCTATATATCCGATGAATGAATAATTGAACTACGATGACAAAGGTGTGCAGTGATAACTAAATGCAATGATAACTAACATGAAAGATTAAAACGTAGAGTTACTGATTTCAATTAAACTTTGTATGGTTATACGAAGAATGTTCAAACCATGTCCATGGCGAAGATTTAAAAAAAAAATTCAAATTGCTATCTAAATTCTTATTTTTTTCAGGTTTTTTCGAAGTGAGAAATTCAATCTCAATTCCTTAAAACTATTTCAACCCACTTTGTAACTTAAGTCGGTAAGACTTGTTTCAATATGTTACTCATACTATAGCTATGTACATTTTTTTCTAATAGATTTTTTTTCGAAAATCACAAAAAATGTGATAACTTCAACATCATATTACCAGCGAACAATTAGCAAGGGTTTAATACAGGAATAGCTATAGAGCATACGAAATGGCACTTACCGTACCCCTGTAAAAAAGTTAGGAAAGGAAGTATACAATTAAAAACTTTTTTTTTTTATTATTTATTCCTTATGATAACATTAAATCTCCCAGCGATCTTGGATCCCAGATCAAGGGAAAGATATAAAAGAAATTGTATATAAAGTATATTATATAAAGAGGGAAAGATGCACTCCAACAACAGCAAACGGTAGTACACATAAATATCAGTTTATAGGAAAAAAGATGATCTTGAAAACATGATATTTCAGAATCATTCTTTTTTTTTTTTTTTTAAGACTGAAGAGAAAATAATGTGCATATTAAATAAAGAGTTTTACACCATAAAAGAGAGAATTCATCAAGAAAAAATCTCAGAAATGGAGTGTTAACTTAAAGCAGCATGTTACATCCCTGATGTTGCACAGCCTGACTATAATTTTACGCAGTCAATGGTGTATTTTTTAAAAAACTGGTAATTCGAAAATGGGAATTTCAAATCAGGATGCGAGTTTCGCCTTGAAAAATAAGGGTGGTTATTACCGCCAAATTCAATGGGTTAAAGTAATTGACAATAATAGTCTATACTTCGAAGAATAATTATTGTGTGTAGATTTTATCCTTAAATTTTTATTGTATTTATTAAGATGTGTGCAGAAACGACGCACACTAAAAGTATAAAAACCTATTAGCTTCTCTTTCTTTTTTTTTTATTATTTCAACTGTTTGATTTAATTTTGTACTTTCCAATGCACCAGCGATCAGGTTCAATGCACAGAGTTAGATTCTATTCAAATAGGACAAAGTGAAGCTAGGATTATGGGCTAGGACAGAGCTAGGTAACACCTACAGCGTTGAGATTGCCAACACCCGACATACTGAGTATCAGGATTAGGAGGAACAGGATATGAAGGATTCTCAGAGGCGGCACTAGTTAATATTCCGCTTTGATAATCCTTAGAACCCACTACATCTCCCTGCTTGCTTTCTAATTAACCTAGCCAAGTTGGTTTATATACGTCTGCCCCGAATAAATCTCATTGTGTTGCTATGCCTTTCACAATTTAAGATAAATAAATAATGAGAAATGAACTGTTGAAGGGCATAAGAGTATTTTAATAACTCGAACCAGGCATCCCAAACTATATGTTTACCACTGGTGGATAAGCAAAAACGGTACAAGCAATGTGTCATGGACAAAAATATCTTTTTAACACGTTTATTTTTTGTTTGTTTGTTTTGATGTCTAGGCGCAAAACATCCAGGTCATAGGCGCCCGATCAACTAAATAACATCATTTAATACTATTTGGATGATTGGTACAAAAAAATAAATAAAAATAAAAATAAAAAATAAAATAAAATAAATAGAGAAATGGATTGATAGAATAAAATAAATAAATAAGGATAATAATAGACATTTATAGGTAATAAGATGTATAAAAAATGTATAAATAAATAAACTTTAGAAAATAGCAGTAGAATCAATAAATGAATTGAGATTAATAAACAAATGAATTTAAAATGAAATGAAATCAATTGAAAAAATAAATAAATAAATAATAATAAGAGAAAATATAATAAAAATAAATAGATACAAAAAAAGTTAATAAATAAAAAATAAAAAAATAAATAAAAAGCCTGTCAAATGTGTTTTTTAAGTCTTTCACTATCCAGGAACTTGATGACTTTGGTAACGATTTCTTCTTGATTTCCCAGGGATGCTGATATATTCTGGGGTATTCCAAAATCTTTTAATCTTGCGGTGTAAAAAGGGCATTCTTCCAAAATATGTTTTATAGTTAGTGATTGGTTACACTTTTGACATCGGGGGATAGAATCTTTTGTTATGAGGTGGAGGTGAGTCAGTCTAGTATGTCCGATCCTCAGCCGCGTGAGTACGACCTCTTCTCTACGACTGCTGCGTCTGGAGCTGGCCCACGGTTGCACCTCTTTCTTTATTGTTTTTAATTTGCTAGGTGCGCTGTTGTCCCACCGTCTTTGCCATTCTTGGAATATGGTATCTCTCAGAGGTCGTGCAAGTTCAGATGGTGTCAAAAAAACTTTACCCCGGCCTGGAAGAGTAAGAGCTTCCTTTGCTGCTCTATCAGCCATTTCATTTCCTTTAATTCCTATATGGCCAGGCGACCAGATAAAATGTGCCGTTGTTCCAACTCCATGAAGCATTTTTATAAGACTTAGAATGCAGTGTATCCCTGGATGGTCTGGATACATGTTATTCATAGCTTTCAGAGTACTTAGGGAATCCGATACAACAACCACATTTGCAACTGGCTTCTTCATGACGTATCGGAGACTCATTGCTACGGCGTTAATCTCTGCTGTGTAAACACTACAAAGATGGTGTAATTTATATTTGTAGGTAGTATCAGGAGTGACAAAGGCTGAAGCAGTAGATGTATCTGATTTGGATCCGTCGGTGAATATTAGAAGATGTTCAGGTAACGTGATGATTATTTTGTGGAATTTTTCTTTGTAATCTGCAGTTTATTAACACGTTTATTAAACAGATAACAATCCGGGAGGAGTTGATTACCATCTGGATCATTAATATATATAATTTGGTAGTCCCTCGAAAAGAATCTTCACAGAGCCAGTCAAGTTTATATACTTCAGACCAGTCGTTGAAACTACTAGGGAAATTTTGTAAATTCTATTTTAACTGATTAGCGAAAAAATATTTTAAAAAAAAACTACGGTGTGTGCTTTAGACCACATGATAGAAGTGAAAACATCAACGAGGCGAGATTAATAATATGAAATACTAGTTGGCCCGTGCGAATAATTCACAGAAAATTTTGTTTAGTGAAGAAATAGCAAAACAATATGGAAATAAGTAGATCCTACGTATTATGTGAAGAAAGAATTAATATTTTTTCCTTGATCGATTACAATATTCCATTTAATAAATAATAGACCTAATATTTGTACAAATTGCTTTGCTAGTACCTATTTTTAAACTCTGACTGGAAAGATAATAAAGACTAAATAAATCCTCGATCATGGGATTTCCTAAATTATTGAAAAAAATAAAAAGTTAGAACAAACAAATGCCTTCAAGAAATAATAAAGTTAATGACAGCCAGGGAAAAAAGTGCAGTACAATAGTAAATGCAATATCTTTAAAGAGGAAGAATTCCCAGATAAAGTTTCTTTTCCTTCATAACACTTTTTCCAGAAATTTCGGGGAGATAGGTGGAAGCATATTGAAGTTATGACACTTTTTGTGATTTTCGAAAAAAAAATCAAAAGGTTTCTTAGGTCAAATTTGTAGATAAAAAAATTCTCTTTCGATCGCGATGAAAATTCGTATTCGATGGTCTTCAGAGCTGCAAAATACAAATCTCAACTCTGTTTCTCCTTAAAAAAATATTTTAACACAGTTTCCTCCTTCGATCCGTACAAATCGGTACAAATGTAACGACAAAAAAACATTTTTTAGAAATAATATATAGGATAAATTAAAAATAATGGCCAATTACAGAGAGGGTGAAATGCAATTACAGGTTCGATTTATAGTTTCTGAAATATTTTAATCAATGTCTTCTATGAAACTCGTTATCATTTGGTTTTTGACGCTCTTTTTTCCCTTTTCGCCTCTTTAACATTGTGTCGTGTTGAGATACAATTATTGAATAATTGTATATCTATTATACAATTGAATAACAGCTCATTACAGAGAGGAGGAAATGCTGAACGATATCTCACTTACAATATGCAGGTTCGGTTTTTAGATTCTTAGATATTTGAATCCATACCTTCAATAAAACTCGTTATAATTTGGTGTTTAGCAATATTTTTCCCTTTTCGCCTCTCCAACACGGCGTAGCTTAAATATAAAATTTTGAATAATAGAAAGAGGATGAAATGATGAACATTTGCTTAACTAACAATAAGGCGATTTTTAGTTTGTGAGATATTATAATCCATAACCGAAAACATTTCAATTAGTCAATCCCAGCCGACTTTACCCGAACGTTACACATTGGAAATCTGACGGCTCAATCTAATTCACACTCTACAAAAAAGTGCAAAACGCGCCCAAAGAAGTTCTTACTTCAAAAAGTTTTGAGGAACTCATTAAAATTTTAACATTTACTTATTTAAGTTTTTAAAAAAAAGTTACGTTAAATGAGAAATACGCAGTGGTTAGCCTTATTTAGAGTTATAATTTATCTTGAATTAGTAGATTTTAATTTACTTGTTGATGGTCACATGTCAACAGTTAGTGTTCATATATTGCCACAGCCAAAGTCAATATATGAGGTGCATAATTCCACAGAGCCAAGAACATTCTTCGATTTTTTATTTTGAAGCCTTGAAATTAGATTATCATGAAGTAACATGATTCCTTTTAAAAAAAAGAAGTAATGTATTTTTGTAAAAAAAATACTCGCATATTTATTATCACAAATTAAAAACAAATAAAATAAAAATAGGAAATATATTTAACTGGATTTGGAAAATGTATGCCTCGTACAATTTCTTAGTCTATAAGAAAAGTCTGTGAAGAAATCGGTAAATATTTTCGTTAGTTTATAACATCATTTGTATAAGATAAACACAAA